GAGGACTAACTACTGCCTCTCCGCAGCAACAGAACTTTATTCAGCAGCAATTTGTGCGCCCAAAATGCGCGTAATGCCTTTAATTTTTTTTCTTTTTGTTTCTGTTAGCATTTATTGCTTTCCCTTTTCTTCCTCTTTTTTTTTTCCCTTCTTACCTGCTTCTCTCTCCTACATGGCCTGCAAAAAAATCCACAAAAATCTACCACTATTGAGGTTGCTTTTAGGGATTGAATCCATTAATTGATTGATAAGAGGTGATGTAGCACTTGAGTTGAGAGACAAAGAAATAAATAATGTGTAAAACTATGTATATTTTCGATCAAATTCTACTCTATTTTTTTTTTACTTACTGTTTATGTGATTTGTTCTGATTAATTAGTCATAAATAAGAATGATAATATGTTGTGAAACTAGATAGATGTATCCTCGTGTGCGAACGGTTGTATAATCTCAATTGCAAGAATGTAATATGAATACGTTAAAGTATAGACCACTAGATACAGAGAGAATTGTCAATCTTTTATTAATCATTCTTCATTTTAATATATACATCAAGTACAGAGTTTCAATTTAACTGTGAAACTACAAAAACGGAAAAGACATTATCATATATAGTATGTATAATATATTTTAATAATGTTCACATATATTTATTCATATTTTATTACTTTATTTTTCTTTCATTATCACTAAAATCACGACATATGACATAAATTTTACTCAATACAATTCGCTATATCATTTCCAATGAATAATATAGGGGGGTTCAAAAAAAAAAAAAGAAAAGAAAATATAGGGTGAAAATTTGAAACCCACCCAAAGTAGTCCTAGTGAGGACCATACATAGCGACCTTGTCCCATTAAAAGCTAAGGCGATATAGGCTACAGCTGTCTGTAATGACATATTTTTCACAGTGGACAAGAAGTCAACTTCTATGGGTGATGAGGAAAATTGAGATTTTATACCCAACAATATACCAATAATAGAGCTACCATAACACTCTTATTGTCACTATCATCATTCTGTCTACTCCCTACACACCATGTTTAGAATTTTTAGTTTAACACTAAAAAAGATTGACGGTTGGTTCTTGCTTGTCATTGTTTTAAAATCCTAATTGAGAAATTAAGTCTTATTTTTAGAATTAATACTTTTCAAAAAGACTAATTGTTAATCGATGCAACGAAACCTGCCTCGACTTAAGCGGCGCCTAGTAATGTCGAGCCAATCATCGAACACAAATCAACGATATTTTAAATATTTAAACTCGATCTACGTAATTAAACTCTTAAAAATTCATATTTTATTAAACTTAAAAATAGTATCAAATTTCAAGAATTTTGGTGCATCATAATCGAAATATCATATATTATCTTTGATTATGCAAATCTCCAATTGTTTGGGTGGCATGAATGCATGATGCTCACCCCCACATGGGGTACGGTTGCTTTGTCCATTTCATCCTTTTTCTTTTTCGGGTTAGGTCACAGTGTGTCCTGAACAGATCCTATATATAAGAAACACATTTAAACATGTACCATATTCAAACTAATCCATAGAAACGTTACATTGTGCAACCGTGTGCACCATGCAAGGTGCACACAATTCCAATTCATAATTTATATACTATAGATTTATAATTTCTATACTGTAGATTCATAAAATCTATATTGTAAATTCATAATTTTTATACTATAAATTCATAACTTCTATATTGTAGATTCATAAATTTATATTGTAGATTCATAATTTCTATACTGTAGATTTATAAAATCTATACTGTAGATAAATAATTTCTAAACCGTAGATTCATAATTTAAATACAGTAGATTCATAATTTAAATACAGTAGATTCATAATTTATATACTGCATATTCATAATATCTATACTGTAGATTCATAATTTCTAAACTGGTATAGTTATCAAATTATGAACATATAGTTCTGTGATTTGTAAATATAGAGTTCAACAATTGAGAATATGAACATCAAAAACTATGAACATATAGTTCTGTAATTGTGACTATAGAGTTCAATCATTATGAATATATAGTATAACATTATGAAAATATAGTTCAGTAATTATGAACATAAAACAGTGTGCATCATGCATGATATTGCACAGCATAATTTGCCCTAATTCATGTTCGAACCAGACCGACCCAATTAAAAAACAAAATACTGATCAGAATGATCTTTTTAGAGTAAATACCCAAAATGGTCCATCGACTATAGCTAAATTCACAAATTGGTCCTCGACTTTTAATTTTAACCAATTAAGTCCTTAACTTTGCAATTTTAACACAATTTGGTCCTCTGTCTATTTGACCGTTTGTTGACTGTGATTTTTGAGAATATATATGTAATTTCATGGTCAATCGTCGAGTTTTTAAGCTATTCATAAATTGGTCCTCGACTTTTAATTTTAACCAATTAAGTCCTTAACTTTGCAATTTTAACACAATTTGGTCCTCTGTCTATTTGACCGTTTGTTGACTGTGATTTTTGAGGATATATATGTAATTTCATGGTCCATCGTCGGGTTTTTAAGGTTCCGGTTGCATTTTCAGACCGCACTGTTACATTTTAATCCACTGTCAAAAGCAATATCTACCAAATCCGGTCGCCTTTCTTCATCCTCCCTTTGGATTCAATGTAGTTGAGTTCGTACCAGAGCGAAGAAGACGACGTGTTTCCGAACCGGTGCAACGTCATCCTGGAGGCTCCATGTGCTCCGACGAGAGCTGAAGGTTCTTCTGAAGATCGTCGATCACGGTCAACAAATGGTCAAATAGATGGAGGACCAAATCGTGTCAAAATTGCAAAGTTAAGGACTTAATTGGTTGAAATTGAAAGTCGAAGACCAATTTCTGAATTTAGCTATAGTCGAGGGACCATTTTAGGTATTTACTCATCTTTTTATACAAGATGGAGTTTTTTTTTTTTGAAAGTTACTGGCTCTATTACATTGTAGTATCTGTTCATATACTTTCTCAACCTACTGAAACACAAAGAACCAATAACGCCTCCACTGAGGCTTGAACTCATAATCTTCCAAATGGAAGTCCAACTCGGGTACCATTAGACCACATAGTCTTACAAGATGGAGTTTAAATTCCTTACATTTCTTAAAAGATAAGAGTACATGGTCACTCACACAAAGCTAGTTATTTCCTTTTTTTTTTTCTTTAACCTCTATTATAGGGTTCAAAAACGTTGCCGCCGTTGCTGGGTCAACCTCGAAACTTTGACGGAAAACCAAACCAAAACAAAACATAATTATAGAGTGCGAGTTTCAAGACTACAGCGCATTGGGAAATACACACAAAGTTTACATTAAAAATCTCGTGAATAAAAATATTGAAATGTTTGTTCTTGAAAAACAGCATATATGGTTTGTTAGTACTTTGTTTTATGAGACTACTGTATTTGTGGGTCAGAGGTGAAAGCTCGAGATTACATATACCTAGCTTTCATTGGGTTTTGTAAACCAATTTACTGTTAATTATTTCCTGTTAAAAATGAATTTTTATTTCGGATATTTTTTTTTTAATGAAGCATGAATTGGTTAATAGTTAAATTTGAAATTTTGAGTGGATAATTATCGTTCAATTTTGAATAAAATGATTGAGGAAGAAATAATGCGAAACTTGAACAATCATTATTGTTTAGATCATATAATCAAATATTTTACATTCATTATATAAATAATATACTTTTATTATATTAAAATTGTATTAAAAAAATATTCAATTATTTTTTGTTATGATTCACATATCAATGTGTAATTTGCCAACCTTGATTTCATGGAATTTGATGTAGAATTAGTCTTTCAAATCTGATAGTAATATTGATGCATAATTATTAGTTCTTAACTTTTAAACTATCTAAATTAAATGAAATTTATGGATCGAGACCTTGTAGACTTATACATGTGGGATTGAGTTAGGGCGAGTAAATTTAAGGCAAATATTAAATTTTCACATTCTTTTTTCTTAAAATCATTATTTGGGTTAGCTAAATTTAAAACGAAATCCAAACATTTTGTTGTTTCGAAATTTTAAATTATAATATTGATAGGGAATGAGGTATGAGTCCAAGTCAATTAGACCTAGGGAATGGATGCTCAATAATTACTTGGGTCCAAAGGATGATTAGAATTCATGGGCAAAGTTTAGGTTACTTACATAAGAAGGAAAGAGAGTTAAGGTGCGAATTGATTTGAGGATCAAAGTTAAGGGATTAGAGTGTAAAGATTGAAATAATGAGGTATAAGACGGAAGAAAGTTAAGGTTAATACGCACCTCAAGTTTAAATAATACGTTAAATGATTAAATTAACATTGTATTTTTTTAACTTGATTATATTGAACATTGATATCGACAAAATCAATGACTATCATCTCATCGCATAGTTCATATGAACACATCCTCCGCATCTGATCTCTATTATAATATATACACACACAAACAAACTACACCATTAACTAACGGGAAGTTCTATTTGCACCACCCTATTTACTATTTGCACTCACCTATTTAATAGGTCAAATAGATGGTGCAAATACCAAAGTAGGTGGTGCAAATAAATGTAGTCAAAGTAGGTGGTAACATTTATTATTTATTATTTTTTAACAATAAACATTAAAAAAAAAAAATGATCGCCTTTTTTTTTTTTTAATTATTTGTGTAATTATTTTTAAAATTTTTATTTTCAATACATATGTTTTTAAATTTTATTTTCAATACTTGTTTTTTTTGTTCAATATAATTTTTTTAACTTTCTATTTTCAATACTTGTTTTTGTTTATGGTTTAATTTTTAAATTCAAAATAATGATTAATTTTGTTATTTTAATATTTTTTATAACTTAAATTTGTTGTATTCATTATTTTATCTTTTTTTATAGAGATATAATAAATAAAATTTGAATCGCTAAAAATTGTAAAAATATATTAACTTCACAATAAAAATAAAATAAAAAATAAATTCATTCAATTTCAATCTAATATAACATTTTCCCGAGTACAATTAGAGCGTACATGCTCATTGTAACTTTCAATCCTATTCATATATGGAGTCATCCATGCATTTGCACAATCATATCTAAAATAAGCCCATTGTGGAGCAATTGTAGGCATTGGGTACCCTCCTGTCAATGTTACCTTGACATAATGGTTATTATTAACATAACCAAGGGTTATTGCTACATGCTCGTACCAAGGTGGTGGGCTAGATCGAAGTGGTAAATATGTTGTACTGCCGGCCATACTCAAAACATGTAGTATCACATTGTATCGGGAAGCAATTAGTACACCCATCTCCGGCATAGTCATCCAGTGCTCAACTGGTGCACACCGATCTTGTGCAAAAAAATTCAACATGTTATAGGCATTATACCATCCTTGAGTTCCAAACATATCGGTATATTCCATTGTGTGAGACTCTAGTTCTTCGATTAAATTGGATCGAATTTTGAACCATTCGTCCTCCTTAAAACCGAGACAGAGAGCTACGGCTCGAAATCCACAGTTTCCGTCAGATTTCACATCTTGCACTTGCATGATAAAAGGATGGAATATAACCGGAAGTTGAAGCATATATGGATGGTAAAAGTGTCTATCACCTGAAGTTGGTGCAGCTGAACAACTATTCCGAGCTTGTTCTTGAAATTGAATATTATTTGGCTCGGCTTTAGTTTTTCTGAGAGATAGAGTTCTTATGAGAGATTCGTTTTTTGAAGTGGGACGCCCACGAACATTTATTTGCACGGGTGGCTCACGGATCGAAGTTGTAGATGGCGCGATCAACTCCCTCAACTTTCTCAATATGTTGAATTTACCGGTTCTTGATTGTTTCTTGAACTGATCCTTAAACATATGAAGCTCATGCTCAACACCAAAATCTTCATTGGTTAGAGAGATGGAAGATGATAAGTCGAGCTTCCTCCAAAAGATATCAATCGAATCAAGTGGGATAGGCTTACCACAGTTAAAATATTTTACCTGCTCGTGTGCACATGGAAGCCCGCAACTTGTTCGCAATCGACATCCACAATTTTCAAAAGTAATCCCGCCAGCCCGTGACCTCTCAAACTCATTAAAAATGAGATTCAGTGCATGAATAGACACAAATCCTCGCAATTCTTGAAAATGTGACGTGTTGAACCGATGTCGAATCAAAATTTTGCTTTGTTCAAGACTTGCTTTGATGGATGTGTCCTGTGACTGAATGACTCTGTCGATATAAACCAATGATGTCTCCAAATCTGACTGCGATGACTCCAAGTATTTTTTTAACTTGGCATGCTGACTCTCAACTCTGTTCGTGGTGTGATTTCCAAAATTGAGATATCGATCAGTCCAAACAGATACAAACATTTCTTTATACGGTTGCAGCCAATTATCATCAATATAACCAAAAACACCTGAAAATGTGAATAATTGAAGAAATAATTACAGTAGTTGAACAAATATGCCTTGTTAAAAAAAATATTAAAATATACATCGAATAATACCTGGAAAGTCAACCAAAACTGCTTGTATTTGAGCTAAATGGAACATATATGATTCATGAGTCTGAGACTCAACTAATGCGTTCCATGATTTGTAGAATAAATCCCAATGATGGTTTGAGGGGATCGATGCCCTGCACTTTCTCAAAATACTTCTATAGATGTGCCATCTACAAAGTAATCCTTTAGCATCCGGATACACATTTTTACATGCTTTCATCAATGCCAACTCTCGATCCGTGACGATAACACGCGGGGTAATGCATCCCTCAATTGTGGCTTTGAGACAATTTAATGCCCAAGTATAATTGGACTCATTCTCTTTGTGCATGAAGGCGAACGCTATGCAAAATGTCATGTTGGTCGAAGTTACACCAACCATTTCGACGAGAGGCATCGAGTACCTATTTGTCTTATAGGTTGCATCTATCAACAGGACATGTGGAAATGCACGCCACTTCTCCATAGATTTAGGATGAACGAAGAATAAATCTTCTAACTCATCTGTTGCATTATTAGTTCGACTCTCATGCACATAACCATTGTTATGTAAAAAAGACATAACAACTTGCATTTGAGTTTTACCTGCATTATCCATCATCCGGAATTTTTGGCGTGCATTGTATATGGTTTTTGTGATGGAAACATTATCCGGATTTTGCATCTTCACCGACGTTAAAATATCTCGTGGTTTCACATGCATCGCTGACAAATTTTCCACCAATTCGACTTCATTTCCTGATAATCGCCTTGCATAAGGGTGACCTTCAAGGTGCAATGCAGGCTCATGATTATGGACTCCGCATATTACCCTAACCCTCCAGCAACCATCAACACGTATGTATTTCCCCTCCAATTGGAATGGACAATCAATTTTTCTTGTACCCGTGTTTTTAGATGAGATTTTTTTTGGCACGTAAGTACCACCACGGTCACACTGAAATATAACTGTAGGACTTTTATTCCGGGACCTTTTAATCACAATAACATAACCGAGATCCCGACCTCTACTTTGAACCCATTCAATTAAATCTTCGCGAGACATGAATGCCTAATAAAAAAATTATTTGTATCAATAATAAAAATACCTAATTAATTAATTATAATCATAAGTATACGTACTAATTAATAATCATAATAATAATTACATGCATGTATACCAACAAATTAAAAAAAACAAACAAACAAAAACAAAAACAGAAATTAAGTATACGTACTAATTAATAATAATAATAATAATAATAATAATAATAATAATAATAATAATAATAATAATTACATGCTTACAATAATAATAAGTATGCGTATGAATTTTGTTTACCGTTTCTGTAGACAATTCGCATGCAACCTCGAGATTTAGGTTCACTTGATCATCATCTTTAGTTCTATTGTCATCATAAATTTCGATTGCATTTTCGTCCTAAACAAACAAACAAATAACAACTCTTAATATATAAAGACAAAATAATATATTCAATATTGATATATTAGAGCAATGAATTTCTAATCAAAAATAAATATACATATCTAAATTTCTAAATAATATATAAAAGCAATGAATATATAAATAATACGTAATATTCAATTTACTAAGTTCACACACACACACATATATATCTATATATATATATATATATATATATATATATATATATATATATATATGAAATTAATGAACATATATGAAAGCAATGAACTTAAATTTCTAAATAATATATGAAAGCAATGAACTTAAATTTTTAAATAATATATAAAAGCAATGAACAAATATACATAAGTTCAATTGTAACATTTCAGTAACAATTCAAATAAAAAAAAATTAAAATACCTCGTAATGTTGTTGATTTTGATTTGGACCATTGTAACTAAGAAATTGGCTTTGATTTTGATCGTTGTAGCTAAACAAATTATCTATCCAACCGTCCATCACACACACACGAATTTTGATTTTGATTTTGATTGTATGACATGTACATCACACACACACACCACATATATATAGAGCCATTTAAGTCTTTTGGATTCCTTGCCATTCATTCTACACGTAATTTCATTTCACTAACAACAATATTAACTAAAAAATATGAATTGAAATTGTAAATTTACAAAATATATGTATTAAAATTATCAAGTTCAAAAAACTATCTATTGAAATCATAAATTTAAAATAAACATATATCGAAAAACAAAAAAAAATGGACCAGGAAGGCAAGGAGGCAGAAAAAAAAAAAAAAAAAAAAAAAAAAAAAAAAGGCTGCTGGCTGCTCCGTTTTTTTTTTTTTTTTTTTTTTTTAATTACATTTTGACCTCATAATTGTAAATTTAATAGGGTGGTGCAAATAGCATTTTGACCACCCATTAGGCTATTTGCACCACCCATATTTACTACCTTTTTACATTTTCAAAGTGCTTTATACCTCATTTTAGTCAATGGGTGGTGCAAATAGCAACACCCTAACTAACATGGGCATTGTGTATTGGAGCTTCTTGAAATTTGATCCAAATGGATGAACATCCTCGCTATAAGTCTTGAAACTTTTTTTTTTGAAAACTATAAGTCTTGAAACTTGAGATGCATTGCTACGTTGCCAGGCGTCTCCTGCCATGTGCTATGCTATCCCATCATTTTCAACACATTTAATTTGCTTCTACCATGCAACGTTTTTTTTTTAATAAATAATTTTCCACAATTGGCTATGCTCTTGTTGCATGAATCATATGTATTAAAATCTTGTCGTAATTGACATTTTTGTTTCAAAAATGATTTTAAACGAACTTGGTCAATTTGGGGCAGCCCAAAGTTCCCAACACATTAACTACAAGATGTCTTGGGCAAATTATTCTATAGACCCAGGTCCACATTACAAGATGAATCTAGATTCAAAAATATACAATTTATATACCAAATGTTCACAATTTACGTTTTAAAAATTCACAATTTATGATGACTTTATATTGTATTTAGAAAATTCTCAAAACTAAGAAACACAATTTATATTTTATATGTTCACAATTCAAATACTAAAAATACACAATTTAATACTAGAGTCCACCTTGTAAGATGATTATGGTCCCATGGTATAACAACGGGAAGTCTTATCATTGGGCTGAAGTACAGATTTTGCTCACCCAGGGGCCCAATTAGAGGCTCACTTTAGTAAACTATTTTGTTTGATCAATCATTATTGTATGAACCATGGTCCATACAAGCTGTGTGGATCATATTTTGTATATTATAAAATAATATCATTTAATACAAAAATAATGTACATTTAATACATTAAAAATGTACATTGTATTTAGAGAATGTACATTATTTGAGTACTGAAAATACATTATTTTGGATAATGTACATTCAGTACATAAATAATGTACATTTAATATATTAAAAATGTACTTTTTATTATGGTCCACACAATAATTTGCCTTGTTCGATACGATTGGCTAAACTGGTCATAGATGTGAAAAGTTAGAAGAATAACTAGAGATCGAGTTTCACCAGTGGCAGTGTGAGGGCAACCTCTCAAAGTGAGGGGGGCTCCTTGTGTGCAGTAAGCAAATGTCTAGCCTCTGTGATTTATGTTCAGTTGAGTTATTATAATTTACATTCTTTCAGATACTCTGTCGGGTCGGAGTGTAGGAGACCGTTAGAGTTGGAAGGCTTCATTATTGAGTCCTAATTAATGCATGTGTTAATGTATCTCACATTAGTTACTGATGAAAATTTGAGCTAATATATAAGGTTCAAGCCCTTTTCAAATAAATAAATAAATAAGGTTCAAGTTAAATATACATTTATGGACTAACTAACTTTTTGTAGGGAAAATAGGACATGGGGTCATATCACATGTATTATCACATCAATATAGTGAAATCTTTTATTTAACTTAGTTTTAAAAGGTCTACAGTTTTTCTCTTTCATTTTTTGGCATTAAAATCATGTCTCACTCCTTAAATATCTCTAGAGGTTGTGTTGTTTCCTAAACAATCAATACAAAATGTGTGACCACTGGTGTCTAGCGGGTAAATTTTTATCATGTGTAATAATTTAAAAATCACACACAAAATGTAAATTGCATTAAAAAAAATGTGTGCAACAAGCTCAATTAATAGGGTGTTGGTATAAGTGTATAACAACACGTGAAGGAGGCAAATTATGCTGTGTAACTGTGTCCAACTTGCAAGATGGACACGGTTTCAAAACTGTTCATAATTATGAATATATAGTTTAAAAATTATGAACATATAATTTTATAATTATGAACATAGAGTTGTGAACATAATTATGAACATATAGTTCTGTAATTTTTAATATAGAGATTCAGTAATTGTGAATATAAAGTTCAAAAATTATGAATATATAACTTTATAATTATGAACATATAGTTCAGTAATTATGAACATAGAGTTCTGTAATTGTGAATATAGAATTCAATAATTATGAATATGAAATTAAAAAAATATGAATATATAATTCAGTAATTATAAACATAGAATCATATCCACCTTACAAGGTGGACAAGGTTCCACAGCGTAACGATTGCGTGATCGACTATAAAGTATAAACACAGTTTTTTTCCCTACATTTTTAATATTAAAGATGGAGAAAAATAATAGGTGTCAAGTCCATTACACAAAGACCAATAATGGCCCATAACTATTTTATATGTATATTTCTGGTTGCCAATGGGAAGCCCAAATCCTTAAGATGCACTTCTGAGTCAGCTCAAGAAAGCCCACAAGTCTCTTTCATCACATAAAATCCATAGTCAATTTGTCAACTCAATCTTCAAATTGTGACATTAAATCATTACTCTCTTTTTAAATGAGAACAAAATCTCAATCATTACTCGAAAGTGTACAATTTAAACCCTACACCCTACAACTGTTAATAAAACAAAATTTATAGGGGGTGTTTGATAAATGGTTGAGAGCTGATTTTGTTAGTAGGTTTAACTAGTTGATAGCATTAGCTAGTTGTAGAAAAATGTTTGATAAATTAGCTGTTAGCTGATTATATACAAATATTTTTCTAAAAAAACTACTTTGAATAGCTTTTTGAATTTTAGCATTTTGAAGTAAAAAATTATTGCAAAAGCTAATTAATCAAACACTCATATTGATTACTTCAAAAAAAATACCCATATTGATTATTTAAGCAAGTTAAACAACTAATAGTGATCAAATAAGTCAAAATTGACTGATAGGCTATTATTTTACCAAACAGAACCATAAAATTATTTTAATTTATTAACCAGTTGAACTGTATTTGAAGAGCAAATTCGTATTTAGAGCTTAATGTGATATTAGTGTCTTAGTTGATAAGATCAGTACAATCTTTACTTGTTCAATATTCGTGTCAAAATAAATAAATATAGTCATCTTTGTATTATTATTGCATGGTTTGAGTTTTAAAATCAAGTTGAGTTTCGAGTATTAACTACTTAAACTCAATGTAATTTGATTGTACCTCTAATTTGAATTGTGAATCTCTCTTGTGTCTATTGAACAAATTTTGATATAGTTTGTACATAACATATGATATTTACACTACTATGATGCTAATTCGTATTCAGTTTAAGTTATACCCATAAAGTTTGACTCTTACTTAAAAATAACATAACTAAATGTATGCATTTCATGTGTTATCAGTTATGAAAGATTTAATTAAAAGAATGCTCTAAGCTATATATATATATAAGCACCCTTGAGATATTATGCAAAGTTAATTATTAAAAATTGTATTAACTATTAAGCAAATCTTACTTGATAATTTTAAGGTGTTGATCCGTATTGGTACTTCTTTCCGGGACAAACATCCACTCCTCAGAGCAAGCCCACATTTTGGTTTTTACTTAGGATTTGGTAGCTTCCACAATGAAAGTGAAGAAGGAGATGAGAAAAGAATAAAAGAAAAATGTTAGGTTGGTTGTTAGTTGGCGACAACCCTAACGCGCCTAGTAGGCGTTGTTGGTGCACGAAATATGCACCGACTAGTTTTGTTATTGTTTTTTTTTTTAATAGTCAACAAGGCTCACAAAAAATTTCACATTCTGCAAGCACCCAAACTAACCCTCGCTTTCATCCACCTCACTAAAATAACTACCTAATATTACTATCGGGGATGCTCTTAATGTGACAATTGCATGTTTGTGATGTGGCAACTGCGGTTGTTGGAAGGTTTGAAATATGACATTTTAGCACACCATGGACGGATTATTTATGAGTAACAAGTATAAGAGCAACTATTATTTTCTTATAAAAACTTGAAGATTGGACCGACCGTCAGCTGGCACATGATTAGCACGCACTGCCCTTAGGGTTGGGGTTCAGCCTTTTGGAAGAATGATTAGCACGCATTCGTTAAGCCACCCAAACTCTTTTCATCTTTATTTATTTTAAATCAGTTATTTCTATTAAAACTCGATTTCTTTCTCGTACTACCTCGCTCCCTCCTTCTTCCAGCCACCATAGAATATATACTCTTATAGAAATAAAAGATATCAATAAATTATAGATAAAAACCAATAATAAGTATACCATTTAAAAAAAAATGTTGCTTTTATTGTTGTATATAATAATAATAATAATATAAAAATAAAAAAATATGGGTTATATATTAGTGATAGGAGGAAAAAAGAAAATGGCATTTGATTTGAGTGAAATGAGGTGGAAGGGTGTATAAACGCAGGCTGAATAGTAGGAGTCAAGAACGCAGCGCAGCGCCATTTCCATTGGGCGAAAGTAGGAGAGGAGAGGACCCATTCAAACTAAGCTAAGAGGGACTCCCTCGAGTGACTGAAATCCATAAACTACATTCATTTCTTGCCTTTTGGCTTACTCTCATCTCATCTCGTCTCGTAATAACCACCAAAAAGCCGTGCGTGCGTGCGTGCCCCTAATGGCATCCAACTCCCCAAAACCCTAGATTCAAAAATTAGGGTTCATTTTCCTCTCCATTTCCTCGTCTTCTCGCGCTCCCCATCCCTTGCCCATGGAGGATTCCGACCGGAACAAGCTCTTTCTTGGAGGGGTTTCCTGGGAGACCACCGACGAGACCTTGAGGGAGCACTTTTCGAAGTATGGGACTGTGGTTAGCTCCGTGATCGCCAAGGATCGGAATACCGGTAACCCGAGGGGCTTCGCTTTCGTCTCCTTCTCTGACCCTTCCGCCGTCGACACCGCCCTTCAAGACACCCATGAAATTCTCGGTAGAACGGTGAGTCTCTGTCTCTCTCTGTTTAAGGCATTACGTGTATTCGCACCCACAAACACACACTTTTCTAGGGCTTGTTTGCAATGGTAAAGTTTGCGTCTTTTTTCTTCTTAAGCGCCTTTTTGTTCTTATTTTGATATCGCCAAGGTTCTCTTTTTTCAGGAAATGAGAGTTTTATGATATTATGGTGCTTTTATACCCTTATTTTTCTTTGCAAAGCTATTCTGGCCTGTTATTTTGTTATAAAAGATGAAGCTTTGGTCATTTGGCTGTTTGATTGTAGTTACTCTGTTATGTTTTCATAGGTAGAGGTGAAAAGAGCCATACCCAAAAGTGAACAGCAGCAGAATAGGGGATTGAATAGGAATGGTAGGGCTAACGGTAGGAACAATGACCAGTTTAGGACGAAGAAGATTTTTGTAGGGGGTTTATCAGCTAATCTAACTGAGGAAGAGTTCAAGAGTTATTTCGAAAGGTTTGGTAGGATCACAGATGTAGTTGTGATGCATGACAACATGACTCATAGGCCGCGGGGGTTTGGGTTCATTACTTTCGATTCGGAGGATGCAGTTGAGGAAGTGATGCAGAAGAATTTCCACGAGCTGTGTGGGAAGCTGGTGGAAGTGAAGAGGGCTGTGCCGAAAGATGGTAGTGTTAGTAATATTGGATATAACGCGAGGGTAACTAGCGGAACCAGTTCTACCATTGGTGATTACCAGCACGGGAATTATCCGGCTTATAGTCCTAGATATGGAGTTTACCCCGCTTATGGGCCTGTTACAGGATATGGAAGCGCTGCTGCTGCTGCTGCTGCTGGGTATCCGTATGGAGCTGGAATGGTTGGAGGCGGGTTTCCATCTGGAGCGGGAGCGTATGGTGGACTTGGGTATGGTGTGGCTTCGTTTCAACCTAGGAGTCCTTGGAATGTCCCTGCAATGGCTGGGCCGAGAGGAAGTCCAGTGCTTTATGGCGGGACTGCCTTCTATCCTGCTTATATGAATGGTGGTGCCGGGGCAATGAGCTTGTCTGCCAGCGGATTCAATGAATTTTTAGGAGGTGGAATGAGCGGGAAGTCTGGGCAGTTTGGCATGGGGGAATCTCAAGGGGCATCCGGTTCGGTGCATTCTCAGATTGGCAGGGGAGGTGGTGTAGATTATAATTCCTTTGGTTCTCTCGGTGGTGCTACTAGCAATCAGAGCCGGAGAGGTAATGACGAAAACAAATCTTACTCTGCTGGTAATTCTAACTGATTATTTTGTGACAAAATGTGGATATGGTGACAGGTTAGTGTTTCTCCACTCTGATGGATTGGTGGGGGAGAGTCTTGTGGTCATTTGTTCAGGTGTCCTTTGTTAGGACATCTTTTTTTTTTTTTTTTTTTTTTTTTTAATTGTCAGATGTTGCTTGTTTGTGTCATTTTTATTTTCAATAACTCATGGGTACAGATTCAAGACAGCTGTAACATAATTCTTTTAAGTTCATATCTTTCCAGAGTGTTTTGGCTTTTTTGTTTATTTTATTTTATTTATTATTATTAATTAAACAAATCAATTATGATTTTGATTGTTTGTTTTAAGTGGATAATTTCCCATCTTTGGAGACAATCAGTCTGACTGTATCTTGCCAACTTCCCTCAAGTATTTAAGAGATGTCCCTTTGAAACTACATGTGACTGATTGATGCTATCTTTTTGTATATATCTGTAATTTATGGCTTTATGCTTTCTTCTGATTTAGCTAGTCTTGAAAGCTTACAACCAAAGCACTTCAAAGTGGAAAACATAGTTCATAACCAATTTTCTTGATTCCTATTTCCCCCTGGTTGCATAAGAGGTTTTTGTTCATAGATTGGTTGGATGCATTGTGGTTTGTTTACTTTGATTTACGGGAAAGCTCACAATTCCTACTGAGAATGTGCATTCTGGGTGAATGTTTGTTTGACCCTTGACTGACAAAGGATCATAAGAAGGTAAATCAAATCAACTGTTCATAGTTGATCGGTTCACACTAAGAAGGTCAATAAGGTCGATAGACATATGACTGTTCACAGCAAATGCATATCCTGAGTATCTTTGGGGAGTTGATGCAATCTCGGGTCTTTCGAGTATAGTGATATTATTGTTTTTAGTCTTAAACTTTCTGGGTGAATGTTTGTTTGACCCTTGACTGACAAAGGATCATAAGAAGGTAAATCAAATCAACTGTTCATAGTTGATCGGTTCATACTAAGAAGGTCAATAAGGTCGATAGACATATGACTGTTCACAGCAAATGCATATCCTTAGTATCTTTGGGGAGTTGATGCAATCTCGGCTCTTTCGAGTATAGTGATATTATTGTTTTTAGTCTTAAAAATTTAATCACTTATTCAAATTAACTGCCTGTGGTTTCACCTTTTAATAAATTTTAACTAGTCGTATTTTTAAAATGACGACTTTACTTTTGGAATGACTACAACTAGTTGAAATCTGAAAGTTAAAAAAATATATACACGAGCAATTTAAAAATTTAAAACTAAACGTGATAAAATTAGTAATGGGCATATATACATCAACATCTCAAAGAGTTTAGACATACAATATCAAGAAACAAGATAAAAATGAACACAATCTTCAACATCTCAAAGAGTTTAGACATACAATATAAAGAAACAAGATAAAAATGAACACAATCTTCAGATCCATGGAAGAATGGGACGAGTTCATTATTCAACTACCTTCTTCTTCTCCTGCAAATAAGAATGAGTACAAAATAGAAAGCTTGAAACAGGCGAAAAATTAAGAGGGTTAATTCGTGGCCACTTGCCAGTTGGAGAGGAGACGAAGAACGATGAATCTGCTGCTACTCCCCTCTTCTCACATATGCTCCCTCAAATTCATTCACCCAATTCCTCCCCTTTTCTCCTCCATTTCCACCCATGCTTCCATGCCCAAGATTCGCCCCACTGATACGAACGCCGCCGGTGAGGATCCAGTATCTTCCGTCGCTCAAGATAGGGTTCCTCTCGTAGGTGTTATCCAGAAAGGGAAACCCAATTCTTCTTCCCCAATTCCCAAATGGGGGTAAGCCAGATTATCCACCTAATATATTTGGGTTGATTTCTTTTTGTTATTAAAGTTGTAATTTTTCTGCTTTAAATTGGGATTTTTAGTAAAGTGGCATTGCTGTTGTTCTCCGCAGTTGAAAGATTCAGCCATGGTTTTGAGGTTTTTGACTTTGAGACGCTTCGAACAGCCGACCCTTTCATTGTTGGTAAGGGATTTTTACTCTTCTGCTATGCTATAGAATAAGTTTTTTCTTACTTGTTTTCCTTTTCAACTAATACATGTTTTAAAGTGTGGAGTTGGAATTCTCTGAGTTGCATTTGATGCACGGTTCGATAGGGTGGTTTTTGAGTGCATCTTTTCTTGGAGGTTACGGGGAGGATGGTCGAGGTATGAATGGCCTGTCTAAATCATGTATTGCTGCAACAAAGTCTTGTGCTTTAGGTATCCCGGTGAGTTTTTCTCGAACAACCAACACATTAGCTACTATATATGTATTTTAATCCTATGGCATCTGTTTGTGCTTGAATTATGGTACTAGATAGTAACGTTCTATGTAGTGTAACTTGTAAATTTTTAAGGATTTAGATGCTTAAGTGAAGTATGAGATGATGTAGACCAATGGTAGCATAGTCGGAAGTTATACTAGTTGAAGACTCCAACTAGATTGGCAATGAGGTTTGGTTGAGCCGACTTTCGTTCAACTTATGGTGCTATATTAGGTACCCTAATTGCAGGGTGTGTGGTAATTATATATGGTTTTAACGCCATTTCATCTCCATAGAAAAGGTACACATGGAGAGAGGAGCATAACGATGATATCCGATGCAATTTTGATGCAAAAGCATCTTTGAATCTCAGTATGACCTTTAGCCGAATTCGCAAAGCTCGGGTGAAGAATAAATCCCCTCCGAAATGGATTTCACCGCGGGTCTACAAGGATCTAGAGCAATTATGGGATACATCACTAAATGTGAAATAATGAAACAGGGCTTGAATACTGTAATCGTCGATGACAGGCCATCATCACTCTACACAGACGGATCCATACCCATGTCAAAGCGGGATCAAGAGCTTATAACTCTCGATGGGAAAGGTGGGTTTCACCCGGCCAAGGTGAATGGTGCTATAATGGGGTGTATCAAGAAACATTTCACTAAAGCTGTGAAAACATACCGTGAAGTACCCCCGAGCTTAAAGAAGTATGGTTCAATGAGTTCAGAGTAAGTGCACTATCCTAGTTAACAATCTCTCCATTTCATTTAGCATATATATATATATATATATATATATATAGGCCAGTGTTCCCGTGAGTCCACCCTGTTATATGAGTCCGTGTGGACAGATCTGGGTCATTGAATACTTGAGATCAATGGCTTAGATTTGGCCAACTGTGCACTTCACTTGCACAGTTCGTGTTGTAGTTATAAAAAAGTTTAATCTGTTTTGCTGTCTGCAGAAAATGTATATATGGAAAGAGGAGGATGAGACTAATATTCGACGCACGTTTGATGCAAAGGCATCTAGCCAGCTCCTAAATAACCTTATCCATATTCGCAAAAGGCGTCTGGAGAATAAATCTCCTCCAAAATGGATTTCACTGGAGATTTACAAGGAACTGGAGCAATTATGGGATGACTACAAAAGAGAAAAAGTGGATCAGGAATGGTTCAAAGTACACAAACTCGACGACTTCATCTTATTAGAGTGAAGATCTCTGCAGACGTGTGGTCGTGCTCGAGAATGCTAAATGTCAATTGGCTACAGCGTTCTGGGAAGCTGTTCGGGGTCATTGCTTCCGATAAGTTTCAATGTGATGATGATGATCCAGCGCAATGTGGTCGTGGCCGGGGTGGCTGGGTAGCGGTGAGGATGGCGGAGGTGATGTTTACTCGGTTGGCAACTGAGGGTGGTGGATCCTATGCTACTAACTTTGTCCTTGAGACAAACAAGGTGGTATGACAGTTAGTTGTGGATTTCTGCTAGATGTTCTTGTGATAGATTAATTCATCGCTTTGAATAACTTATCTCTTAGAAATACACATAATAGGGTTGAAAAATATTTCCCCCAATTTTTGGTCGAAAACAATGCCGGAATCCTAGTGATCTGTTATCATAGGTTACTAACCAGTTTTTGGGTTTCATTGCATCATTTAATTGCAACTTTAAACAGTTTAGGCACCTAATTGACTTTTTCTGGTAAAGTAAGAGGGTCTATTTGACCTTTTTTCCCGTAAGATATAGTCAAAGTAAAATTAAAAATGAGTTAATACCCAAATTAGTCTTCAACTGTAGTGGTTTTTCTCGATTTAATCATAAACGACTTTTTGTGCATAATTATGTCCTCGACTTTGATGGTTTTTTCAAATAAGTCCTCAACTGTTATAATTAATGATTAAATTGAGAAAAATCACTTAGGCGAGAACTGAATTGGATAAAATCACTATACTCGAAAATTAATTTGAGTAAAATTACTATAGTCAGGATTAAATTGGACATTAATAGAGATAGAATTACTAAATTGTCTTAACATAGGACTCAATTGGACAAAATTATAAAAGTCGATGACCTAATTAAGCACAAAAAATAATTTAAGACTACATTAAAAAAAAATTCTTGAGGACTAAATTGAGTATTAACCCAATTAAAAATGGTCACCTACTCACCTCTAGAGAATTAATAAAAATTGTGAAATTAAATAAAATTTTATTGTGGGCATGAATTTGCATTTTCCAAAATAAAAATATGAGTGGGCACCGGCGAGTCCACGACCGGTCGACCGCTATCATCATCCATTGATTCATTGGAGACGAAGAGCGATGAATCTGCTGCTACCAGGCGGAGGCGGAGGACCCTCACTCTCCTCTTCGCACCTATGCTCCCTCAAATTCATTCACCCTCTCCCCCCTCTTTTCTCCTCCATTTCTCACGCGCCCAAGATTCGCTGCAAGCCCATCACTCTCGCCAGAGCCGACACCGGAGCTTCCCGCCCCACCGCGACCACCGCCGCACCCAGTTCAACTCCTCTGAACGCCAGAGCCGATGAGGACGCGATATCTTTGGTCACCCAAGACGAGGTTCCTCTTGAAGGTGTTATCCAGTTCGAGAAGCCCGATTCTTCTTCCAAGATTTCCAAATGGGGGTAATGCTTTCTTCTTTGCTGGATTGCCCGCCTTGTATTTTTTGGTTGATTTTGTTTTTTCTTCGTTCTGGAGTGATTAAAGTTGTAATCTTTCTGCTTTAAATTGGGAAATTTTAGCAAAGTGGCATTGCTAGCTGGTGGGGATGTCGCCGCTTTGCTCTTGTTCTCCGCAGTTGGAAGATTCAGCCATGGTTTTCCTGTTTTTGAGCCTGAGACTTTGCGAACAGCTGACCCCTTCATTGCTGGTAAGGATTTTTACTGTTCTATAAAGAATAGGTTTTTATTTATTTATTTTTTGTTACACTCTAACCTATTAGTAGTATCTGTTGAAAGTAATGCCATCAAACCATAAGGAATAAGTTTTTTCTTCCTTGTTTTTGCTTTCAACTAATGCATGTTTTAAAGGGTGGACATGAAATTCTTTGAGTTGTATTTGCTGCACGATTCGACAGGGTGGTTTTTGAGTGCATATTTTCTCGGGGGTTATGGAGAGGATGGTCGAGGTATGAATGGCCTGTTTAAAGCATTTATTGCTGCAACAAAGTCTTGGGCTTTAGGTATCCCGGTGAGTTTTCCTTGTACATTCAACAGATTAGCTGCTATATATTGATAATCCTATTGCATCTGTTTGTGCTTGAGTTATGCTACTATATAGTAATGTTGTAATTAGTGATAGTGTAACGGTGTCACTTGTAAATTTAAGGATTCTGATGCTCAAGTGAAATGCTGATCCCGACAACTTGATTTACTTGGCTTTTGCATGGTATAACCTGAAGTACCAAAAATTTTGTTATAGAATTTCAGTTTTGTTAATTGTAACTTGTAAGAGTATGTGACTTTGCTGTTGGAGTTCACCTGTTGTTTCATGCCTTCGAAGCTAAGTTTGCCCGGATATGAGGGTTACGGTGATTTTGATATCTGCCTATGTCTAATACTTGTTTAGCTTTTATGTATCAAAAAAAGTTTAGGAAAAAGGGTCAAGTAGGCCCTTAAACTTTAAAAGGTTGCAACTTGCAATTAAGCCCTTAAACATGTTAATTTAGAGCATTGAAGTCTAGAAACCAGTTGGTGACTTGTAATTACAAGTCACTGGGGTTCCGGCTGGCCTCTGACCACATTTCGGCCAAAAACACCGGCAAATCGTCAGAGGTTTGCCGGAACCCTAGTGACCTGTAATGTGACCTGTAATTACAGGTCACTAACCGGTTTCTAGGCATCAATGCTCTAAATTAACATGTTTAAGGGCTTAATTGCAACCTTTGAAAGTTTAAGGGCCTAATTGACTTGAGTAAAGTTCAGGAGCCTATTTGACCCTTTTCCCAAAAGTTTATATGGTATTATGGTGTGTGATGAGGTTTTGTTTGAAAATTGGGAGTCCAACGGGAGAACGGTGGCACAGTTGAAATTCTCTTACATTTCTATTGTGCCCTTAACGAAAAGTGGAGCTGGTTTCATATAAGGATTTGATATAGAAGTGAGCTAGAATTAGAACCACTATTTTGGAATTTGATTAACGGTTGGAAGAAGAGGAATTCGGGACTATGGGGATTGTAGGCTTGGCTAGCAAAGCAGTGAGGAATTGTTATATAACTGAGATTGTAGGTGTCTAACTGGAGTACCGGATTAACTTTTGAGCCATAACGTCCCGAAGGATAACAAAAAACCCTTTTAACTAATGTCTGCCAGACTCGTACCCACGCTGGCCCGCTGGGGTTATTGATGTGGACCCACGCAATACCTGCCGTGGGTACCTTTGGCAACACAAACAGGGATGAATACGTTTGATACACTACATTTCAAAATAAGGGTCAAAGAAAGAAGCATCCAATGTTCATTCTCAAATAATAAACTGAATAATTGGTCTGCAAGCTTTGACCTTTAAGTAGAGAAAATATAGGACGTTAAAATATTTGCAAGAAAATCCTTAGAATTAAACATCTCATGAAATGTTGCCTGAAAAAAATTCAGAACTTGAATAACTTGCACAATTTGTTTCATCACGGTTTTGTACGAGTTATTTAATCTCAATGCTCTTCGGTGGATTCTCTTTGATTTATTCTGTTCTTGATTTTCCTATTAGGACAGTTTTATCTTCTCTCCATCTTATGATTTCATATCTACCTAGAATACAAATGATATAAGATACATGTTACTTTGGTTGGTTATCTAACTGCACTGTAAACTGCAAACATGTTATAACATCAACTCTCTCTTCTTGCATGAGGACAAGTGATGCTATATAAATAAAAGAATCGTGACGATTTCCAGAATCAAGTTGTTCAAGTACACTCTTGTCATAAATTTACCCAACTCATCATTTTGTACTTCACTTCTCGGGCAGTTGGGTTTAGCCATAAGGGCTGCAACAGTGGGTCACGTACCGCCAGTCAACTTTGTAACAGTCACCATGGGGAGCACCGCTATATTACTTATTGGATGGAGGACGTTGTTGTTTAGCGTTCTTCCTGATGATCGGAAGAAGAAGAATGATGTATATAAGCGCGGTAGTCCATTTGAGCTTTTCGAGGTAACGGTTTTCTCTTGTGCTTACTAGGTCGATTTCTAAGGAGTGATTCTGCCTTTCTGTGTGTATGTACACTGCTTTTTCTAGCTAGGGACTTTGCTTGTCCACAAAAAGGCAAGATTTCTCGCCCCGGGGGCCCTACATTCTGGCCCGACATGATTTGTGGAGGTGGTAAATCACGGTGACTTAGTGGCCTATTGGGTGGGAGGATTAGTGTCTGGTGCTCACAATGAGCCCACCACATTAGATGTAACTCTCACGTTGTGGTTGTTAGGGCTCGATCTTGCGTCCTTTCTAGGGACTTTGCTAAGTGGATATATTTGCATTCAATACTGACAATAATTTTTTTTTTTTTGATTTGCAGTTGCTGACATCTTTGGTTAGAAGATGGTGAATGATGGGTAGCAACAACATTGAGCTTTCTTGTCTGTAGTAATTCTCTGAGAAGGCAATTTTCAAGTTGTACATGTTTTCTGTGATCAAGAACAAAGTGCAATATATACTGCCATTATACAATTTTAATAGTACAGTATTTGATTATATATATATATATATATATATATATATATATATATATATATATATATATATATATATATATATATATATATATATATAAAGAGAAAGAGAGAGAGAGTCAGGTTCCCGTTTGAACAGTACTTTCCGTGCGGCCGTGCAATCACGCACCATTAGATAGACAAATGCACCACAAAGTATCTGAAAATGTACCATTAGGTGGTGCATTTTTTTGGTGTGTTGTGCATTTTATGGTGCATTTGTGCATTTTTGAACAGTGTTGTGCGTTTATGCATACTTAATGGTGCAATTTGCACCGACCTCACGGGAAGCTCTGTTCTCATTTGAATCGGTATATATATATATATATATATATATATATATATATATATATATATATATATGGCATTAAATCAATTCTGGCAACATTTGTCACTT